CCGCGAGCGCCTGCCGAGCGCAGCCCTCCGCGGCCATGGCTGAGCTCCGGCTCCAAGGCGGGCAGGGAGCCGCTCTGCCCGCAGGGGCTGCACCTCCGCATGGGGCACAGCCGGTGCCCGGGTCCTGCTGCCTTTACCTCGGATGAAGGCCAGGTCGGTGAGCAGCTTCAGCTCCCTGCTGACGTCCAGCTGGAAGTGGCTGAAAGAGGCCGTGGCCGCAGGACGGAAGCTCTGCAGCGAGTCGGTAGCCCTGAGGATCCTGCGGCACAGGAGAACAGGGACATCAGGGTGGTATGCGGCGGCCACCTTGGGCACCACAGGGCCCTGCCCGCCCTGGCAGCCCCATGCCTGCCAGGATCCCTGCGGCCCCGGTACCTGTTGTGCAGCTGCTTGGCAGCCTGGACGAAGCAGGGGTGGTCGGTCTCCTTCAGCACCTCCTGGGCGTAGCCCACCATGCCCGAGTTCTCCAGCATGGCCTGGTGCTCCTGGATCTGGCAGTGCAGGCTGGCCAGCCGCTCCTGCTGGCACTCCTCGATCGCCTGCAGCAGGGTCGCCCGCTTCTCCTCCAGCATGGCACATAGCCCCTGGATCAGCTGCGACACCTCCTCCTTGGCCTGCGAGCCATTCACCTGCCAAGCACGGCAGGGTCCGTGTGCCGCACGCCCCGGGGCAGAGAGGGGACCCGCCTGGCAGTGCCACCCCCCACCTAGGGACAGCTCAGGGAGGGGCAGGCACCTTCCGCCCTCACCTCTGTGTGTTTCACCGTCTCCTCCAGCTCGGCAATCTGGGTCTGCACCGTGTCCTGGCTGCTCAGGATGTAGGCGAGGCTCTTCGTCAGCTTCTCCTGCAGGGAAGGAGGTGAGGCGAGGTGCCGGCAACCCCCACGCCCCCGACCTACACACCCCATCTGTGCTGGGGCTCCGCCAGTGCCCCCGATTCCTCCCCGCCGAGCCCTGTCCCTGCCCCAAGCCTGGCCCCCACGGCCTTTACCCTGAGGGCCTGGTAGGCGCTGAGCACCGGGGTGATCTTGTGGCTGGTGTGAGTGCGTCGCACGCGGCAGAGCTGGCACACCAGCCGCTGGCAGGTCTTGCAGTAGTGAGTCACCTCTTCCTTGTGCTCCGGGCACATCAGCCCCTGCGCGGGCACAGGAGAGCTCAGCGGGGCTCCGCGCCCGTCCCCCTCCAGGGGCTCCCCCCGGCACCCACAAAACCCCGAGCGGGGAAGGAAGACCCCGACGGGGAGGCCGTACCTTAGGGCGGAAGGTGAGGGTGGGGGGCGTGGGCTCGTGCTGGGCTTTCTGGGTGCCCCAGGGGTGGTAGAGCTTGAAACACTCATTGCAGAAGCTGGACTTGCACTCAGTGCAGCCCTTGGTGGCCTCCAGCTGCGGGGGCTTGCAGAACTGGCACATGATGGCGGCGCTGATGTTGATGGTCTGGCGGTAGCGTTCCACCACCCG